TACTGATTATTTTAATTCAGTGTAACTTATGTGTGATTTTGTGAGTCATGTATCGAAATAGTAGTTCTACTCACTTTACTGAATTGATTCCAATGTTTCCAAACACTAGAATGAATTATTTTGAACAACACTAACGTCTACTTTAATCTAATTATGACGGATCGTAACCACCGTAAAGTTAACTGAGAAATATCATAGTGAAATATTTATTGCCATTAGCAAGTAACCGCCGTTAAAAGCCCTAATATGACCGAGATATTACAAGACATCGCCTAAAAACCCGCGCACATTACAGACTAAACTATCGTCCGATAGTTTAGTCGAATTGGAGTGCATCCCCGCACACTGCTACAACTAAACTGTTTGGTTGGTGGTGGGTGCGCACACTGGCTAATAGTCAGTCGCCCGATTGCTTTAAGTCGATAAGTTGCACTTGGACTAAACTATCCTCCGAAGATTGACTAAACTCAAGTATATTGTAGAATTTTAAAATATAAATTTCGGAAAAAATATACTAGTCATCTTGAACTGATGAGTTCAATCCTGCCCCAAGAAATTAACCCGGTGAATAATAGCGAGGTTGAGGCCGAAGTTTTAAATGCGAAAACGTGTACGTCGGACGTTCAGCGCCGCTTTCCTGTAAGCCTACAAGTTTGACAATGGTGTTTGGAATGTCGACCATGATTCCACTGACTATCCAAACACCAGTGTCAAACTTCTAGGCTTACAGGAAAGCGGCGCTGAACGTCCGACGTACACGTTTTCGAGTTTAAAACGTCGGCCTCAACCTCGCTAATAAGCTAAAACAATCGTATTAATTACATTCTGCATTTTTTTCTCTTCCTCCTTTAGCGTGTAGCAGTTAGATTCTTATCTCGATTTTCTTTTCTCGTGTTTCTATTGACTGTTTTAAGCCCAAATTATGTTATACAAGTAATAATAAATAGAATAGAATAATATATTTATAATAGAAAGGCAGTGAAAAGTTAATTTGTCAAAAACAGTTGATATTCAAAGGAAAACATCCGATATAAAAAAAGTATTGCGCCGAGTAAAAATCATGGCACCCAAAGTGAAAGTCAAATATTTTCTTTGGTGTTTCTCTTTGGTAAAGATAAGCTTGACACTTCGAAACCATACCATAAACTTTTTATTACTGTCTCTGCGCATTTTTGTTTAAACAACATGTGACATGGTGGCGCTTTCAAAAACAAATTTCAAAGATATTTGCTATTTGAAAATTTGTAGACATGAATTCCTACTGTCCTCCGCCTTTCTGCCCTTCCTTAATCTCTTGAACGGAGTTAGATAGATGAAAGACGAGATCACATATAAAAAGCTTAGGGGCAGGAGGCCCCGATTAATTGTGTACGAATTTCCGAAGTAAACTGGATGTCATATTATTTCAATTCAAAAAATTTTCCCCGAAAGATGTTAGATAGATGACCGGCACGACTCTATTGTTAAAGAAAAAGTATGATGTACAGGGACCAGCAACTACTAACTTGAGATGGAGAGCTTATAGTTTAAATTAAATAAATTAAAAATACGATTAAAAATTGCAGCCCTGCATTGTGACGACGTCACAATAAATAATTACTTGTCTTTATTTTAAAATTTAATGATGATGAAACTTTTATATCGGTTTCTATAGTTCTCTATATCGGAGGACTTATTAGACTATTCGAAATGTTTTCACTTGGACACAAGAGACCGTTTTTTTGGCTTTTCTATTTTATTAAATATGCATTTCAGTCACTTATGTTCCTCTTCAGTTTAAAGCAAGATGCTTTTCGGCTTACAAATTTTTAAATAAATTCACTGAAGATTATACATTAAATATACATTTTTTCATTTTTTTATTACATTTTCTCTTTTATTGATTTTATCTGAGACAATTTCTAAAAATATATTAGATCTTTGACTGTTTTAATTTTCTAAAAGGAAATTTTTAATTTTAAAAACCCATTTTCTTTTTTCCCTTTAACAGTTTATGTTATTTTATTTTATACAAGACTAAAATTTCTCATTTTCCCGTTAAAATGATCTAGAGATTCTATAATCTTTTATTAGCAAAGTACAGGTTCCGTCTTTTCACGTATATTCCGAGCTACTACGATGTTTATATGAGTTATTATATACATTCATTGTTTTTCTTATACATTGAAAGCCAGCTAGATGCCGAGCAGCAGCCTACAGAATGTTACCGCAAAGTATCTGGGATTAATTCCCGGTCGAGATTGCTGCAAAAAATTTTTTCACGTGCAACCACTTATGTGTCTTCTCCATCCAACCCCATATTGCACCATTGGCTAAGCCGATTGGATCCCTAAATAGTGGTAGTCGGCTCGGGTTGGTGTTTGGGCCAACGGGCTGGCTGGTGCGTTTTCCGGGTTCTCTTCGCATCCATGACGTCCGAATAGGGGTCACTTTCTCTTAAAACACCACCCAGAAGATACATTTCCTCGATTGCAGATCGTGTTGCGTATCAGTATTTAAAACCAATCATCCATACACTAGCACATTGAAAGAATTATTTGCTTTTTGAATGATTCATACGCTACTCAGTTTCAATTTTTTTTTCGCACAATTTCGATTCGCATAGCATACGAGCTACTCAAAACAAATACTGTATTAATATAATTTATATAATACAGAGTTTTATATATCCTTTTACAAATCCAAAATCAGTCGAGTATTGCGTCACGTTCGTAATTTTTGTTGAGTAATAGCAAAAACGTGCCTAACTTGGCGTGAATTATAAAAAGAATACAGCTTTCTAGGCGATGTGAAAATATTCGTTTAAATTATAAAAGCTACTTTCTGAAAGTTTAGAACATGTCGCGCGAGATACACATAACATTTTGGTATGAAATGGCCTTTATAAGTGAATCTATTTTCATATCTAAATTTATCGAATTGTCCGTTTTCTAAGAATTTTTTTTAAAATACTAATTAAACGTATTTTTTGTATTTTACGTTTTACCACCAGTAAAAGTCAGGGACGGAGTCGCAAGAATTTTACCGATTCCACTCCGACTCCGCTCTAAAACGTCCGACTAAGGGCTGTTTCACACTATGACCGACTGGACCGACTGGTCCGAGCCGATCGATTTTATAATCGGACCGACTAGTAGTAAAAGCATTCACACTAAGTACGATTATATATCGGTGGCCGACTCATGAGGACCAATCAAAACGCGTGTTATAGATCAATACACTAGCCAATCATGGTAAGTTTTTTAAATAAAACAGAAAACACGGCCGTCATGGAAAGCGATCATGCACTTAGATATATCGCGTCATTATTAGATTATTAGATTAGTCAATCACATACCTACAACGTTTAGTTTCTTGAAAATCTCCGTCCAAGAATTATTTTTTTTTATGTTGTCATTATAATCGGCTCGCCGAATATCATAAAGCCACGGATATGTTCTGACTTCGTTTATTAAAGCTTCCGAGAAATCTATACTTTCAGCCATTTTCTAACTTCGACGTAGATTGGATAAATCTAAACTCTGATTGGTTATAGCTTCGAAGCTCTCATTGGCTGTAGCTCACCGACTGCTCCGACCCGACTACAAATATTTAACTTTTCAAATCTGTCCGACTGGAACGAATAGTCGGTCGGCAGACTGCTGTTGCCATGGCAACACGACTTGGAGTCCGGCCAGTCGGTCCAGTCGGACAGTGTGAAACAGCCCTAAGGCGACTCTGACTCCAACTCCACAACACTGAAAAAGACTATGGTACTTTTGAGATAGAAGTGTATTATTAGAATTAGTGCAAATGTAAAAAAATTATTAGAAAATCAAAAATAAAAAGCAAATGCAGTAACAAATGTAGAGAGAAATATATGTTACGCGAAATTATAATACTGTACCCGGAAATACCATAGTACGGAATTGCTAGTTTGTTACAAAAAACTTGAAAACTAAACGAAATAAAAACCTAAAGGTAGAAAGAGTAGAAATGTTTGAAATTGAAGGTCCAATAACGATACCTGTATAATTTTTTACGATACAGCTGCTTATTTTGAACTTGCAAGAGCTTAAAATTGCCATAAAAATTGAATGAGTCCACGTTGCTTTATAAGAAAATTCAAATAGCTCAAACGTTAACTTGCAATTCAAAAATTAACTCTAGGATATCTGAGTTAAATTACGATTCAGATTTAAGAATTAAGATATAAAATTAAAGTATGGTGAATAATGATTTAAACAAAATCTCGATTTCAATCTTACTCTAACTCGAGTTGATGAATACAACCGCTAGCGTTAATTTATTTTGCCGGTTAGCATCTTTGACAGCTTCTTAGAAGCATGTTTTTCAAATAAATAGTAATAAAAAGGAATATTAATTTAGGGGCTGTCCATAAATGAAGGGAGGGGGTTATTTTTTAGACTCTTTCCGCCCAGCGGGCAGTAATAGGGCTTCTTTTAGCAAGCCTATTATGGATTCCTCACCCCGTTCCTCACCACCCAGCCAGACCCACAATGGGGCGGCTGGGTGATGAGGAACGGGGTTCGACATATCCGGACGGACTACCCCCGAAAAATTCCCGGGAAATTTTTCAACCTGTCCAGATTTTATTTCGGGTCGCTAAGAGCGGTAGGCTGCCATCTTGGCCGCTCGGCCATTCGGCCGTCCGGGTGTTGAGTTTTGTTAGACGTCCGAAGAGGGGAGGGATTACGAAAACTTGGACAAACTGGGACATTAATGGGAGGGAGAGTAAAAGTTTCAAGAAAAATGCGGATGTAATTTATGGAAAGCCCCTTACAGAAATAAAATTAATTTAATCAAAATTTTATGTTATCAAAATGAACTTATTGTGTATATATATATATAAGGAAATAAATAAATTATATATTTATTATTTATTTATTTATTGGGACCATGCATTTAAAAATAATAAAGTTAAGAAAATTTTTATTTACTTCATTTTTATTATTTGCTATTATTATTATTTAAATTTCCTTCGCAAGAGGTCAGTAATGTCGTCAAAGTTTATCGAAAACTTGGTTTTTTTGTTTATAGTATTTTTAAGGTGTTATAGTAACTATGCGAGCATATAGTATAATATACTCAATGATGTAAATACACATAATAATTTTGGATTAATTTCAGGATAAGACTGATATTAAAAATGGAGTTGTCTTCGGATACGGATAACGATCGTTATGACAATTGTAATAGTCCCAGTATGCTTACTGATTTGCAATCGTTGGAGCCTGTTTGTAATGAATTTGCTAATGAACCAGAAGCCATAAGACAAAATACAATAAACTGTAAGATTACTGATGAACCATTTTTGGTTCGTGATTCGACTCTTCTAACAAAGAAATGTAGATATCATGAAACAAATGAAAAAGAAATGCACCGTTCAAACTGTAATTTGCTAACAAGTAACAACTTTGAAACAAGAAACGATAGCAAAATAGTGTATAAAGTAGTTGACGATGAAGTTACCTCAGTAATATGTGTTCTGTATGATAAAAATGAGCAGAATGGTCAATGCAATGTAATTGACAAAGGAAAGTTCATAACAAAAGAAAATAGGGAAGGATGCTTTTTTTTAAAAATGCAAGAAAGTAACAATAATAGTAAATTAAAAGCTTATACTAACAAATTAGTTTATGAATCAAATGATGATTGTGAATTATTTTCTACTCCAATAGAAAATAATTGCATTGATGATGCAGAACCTACTAAAAATGATGAATTAAACTGTGTAAAAAATGATCAGTTTGCAGAAATGTCTGCTTGTGAAAAGAAGCAAAGTGAGCCTGAGAAAGATGATGATATTATTTATCAATGTCCTGGTAGGAAAAGAAAAATCTCTGTTGAAGAAAATGAAATTAATGAAAAAGTTGCTAAACGTAGAGGAAAGAATTGTATTAATAAAGCAATAGTTATTGACAAATACGATTATGCAACTGAAAAAGTGATATTTAATCATTATTCAGATGAATACAATGAGGATATAAGTAATGAATTGGATGAAGAAGAAAAAAATGATTCAAGCTGGATAAATGTTACACAATCGGATTCTTTTCCAATTCACTTCAATTTCACAGTTCAGCCAGGGCTTAGATTGTCAAAGAAAGAAATAAGAAAGCCAGTAGATTATTTTAAACTTTTGTTTACAGAAGAAATTATAAATATGCTAGTAGATGAAATAAACCGTAATGCGCTTAGAAAAATATGCAAAAGGAAAAGTATAAAATCTCAAAGTTGGATTAATGTAAATAATACATCTTTTTGTACTTTTATTGCAATATTAATAAATATGGGGCTTAATCCAAGAAAAGATATAGAAAGCTATTGGACTGACAGAAAAAGTCAGTTTATGCCATATTTTTCACTTACAATGTCCAAAACTTATTTCTTAAATATTTTCTCTAATTTTTGTTTAAGAAATTCCAATAATGAAGGATCAAGGCAATCTAACTTTCAAATAAAAAAATTATTTGATAAACTCACAAAAAAGTTTCAGAAGTATCTTTTTCCTCATCGGGTTCTTAAAATAGATGAAGTTACTGTTAATTCTAAAGGAAGAACTTGTTTTAAAATCAACCATCCCATAAAAGCAACAAATGGAATAATGAAGATGTTTATGCTTAGTGAACCAGATACAGGATATGTATATGGTATACAGCCATATTGTGAAAATGAAGAAAATCAAGAAAAATACAGCGATTTACCTATATCATCTCAAATTGCTCTTAATTTAATTGATAAATTACTACAAGTTTTTCCTGGTAAGGGCTATCATTTTTATACTGATCATTATTTTTCAAGTCCAGAATTAGCCAAAGAACTATATAAAAGAAAATGCCATTTAACAGGCACTGTTTGTATGAATAAGAAAGATATGCCAATTAATTTAAAATGTAATAAATCTGATAAAGGTATGACTGCATTAAGAAATAAAGAATTATTAGTTTTATATTGGTATCAAGTGAAACCAATTTGTCTACTCAGTAATTATCATACAACTAATATTCTTGAAGTATCATCAAAATTGCCTGAATTAAAACAATCTAGACCAATTATTGTTGCAGATTATGTGAGAAATATGAAAGGTATTAATCTAGAAGATAATTTCATGATTTCAAGTGCAATTGTTAGAAAAACTATACATAGGTACAAGTGTTATTTTTTGTGGCTTTTAGATTTATGTCTCATTAATGCTTATATCCTTTATAAACACCATTGTAATAAATTAAAAGAAGAAATAAAATATAATCATATTGATTTTCGAATAGAAATTGTGGAAGCACTGACCACAAGCATGGTGAAACATGAAAAACCAGATTCTTTACATAACATTGTTAAAGAAGAAAAGCACATTTCTGGCAAATTGAAGGAACAAAAACCTTGTGTGGTGTGTAAGAAACCACAATGTTGGACATCTTGTGAAACATGTGGAGAAATTATGCATTTAGAAAAATGTTTCAAAAAATATCATTCTCAAAAAGACAACTTAAATTCATTCAAATCTATTATTGCATTAAAATAATCTTTAGTTAAATGATGATACGAAAATGTACTAAAAAATAATTTTATAAGGTAATTAAAGAAATAATATTTAACAACATGATTTAATATCAAATACTATAATTTAAATGATTAATGGTAACTACACTCACTGCCAAAAGTTAAGCACGGAGCGATAAACTGCAAAAAAATTGACAAATACAACTGTGATTGACACAAAATATGGCAGGACAGTAGCAAATATGTTTATGCATGAAACAACACAAAGAATTACATAAAAAAAGGAAAACAATATTGAATTTTCATAAAGTATAAGATGAAATCATATTGGAATTATTAACAAAACGATGTTTAAATCCGAAACAAACAAACAAAACCAACATTAATAGGGTAAATGGTCACCCCTTATCCTTACACAAAGTTTACAGCGTGTAACCATGCTTTCCATGAGGTGATCAACCACTCCAGGGTCAAATAAGTGCCATTCCTCCTGTAAAGCAGTTTGCAACTCTGTGAGAGTGGCAGGGGGTGGGAAACGTGCACACACAGCACAACCGAGGGCATCCCAAAGATTCTCAATGGGATTGAATACGCCGGCCAATCCATACGCATGATTCCTTCATTCTCGTGGTAGTCGTCGACGATGGCAGCTCTATGGGGTCGTGCGTTATCATCCATTAAAACAAAAGCAGGACCAACTGCTGCAGCATACAATTTCACAATGGGTTCAAAGACTTCATCCTGATACCGGACAGCTGTCACAGAACCCCCTCGATAGATGTGCAGGTCGACGAGATATCCCAACGAAATGCCTGCCCACACCACAATGCTTCCACCTTGGAATGCGTGATGCTTGATGATGTTCTGAGGTCGATTGCGTGTGCCCTTTTCTCTTCATACTCTTACACGTTTGTCATCTGGCTCCAGGGAAAATCGCGATTCATCCGTGAACATAACATTGCCCCAATCACACACAGTCCAATTCACATGTTGCTGACACCACTTTAATCGTGTGCCTCTGGATTGGACGGATAGTGGAACACAAACTCGTAGTACCTGGGCATACAGTCCATTCATGTGTAGCCTTCGGCGCACAGTTGTAGCAGATATTGTTTTACCAATGGCTGCTGCAACCATCGATGTCACACGTGTAGAGGTTGATCTTCGATTCCGCTTGGCTACAAGAGCAATATAGCAATCTTCTGCAGGGGTTGTAACTCTTGGGCAATCGGCCACAAGTCTTCGAACAACTGTTTGGCTTGTTTGGAATTGTTTCCATAACCGTGAAATGATGGAATGATGAACACCAAAGAAAAGAGCAACATCTGTGATTGATTGTCCTGCTTCAAGGTGTCCCACACACAGCCAGCGCTCACTGTCTGTCATTCGTCTTCTGGAAGTCATAGAAACACGTCAGTCATGCACACTTCTATGACAGTTCTCCACACTTTTTCTAGACACTTACATGCAACTCCTCTCACACTTCAGAAGGCTGGCTTCTTATATGACTGCCTGTTTTGCATATTTTGCGACACATAACCATGATTGATAGCAACGTAACATATTTGTATACTTCCACCTACCTCTGCAGTGAATTGCAGCCTCTCAAATGCAGATTGCTTTCCGGACATGAACATTTTCTTCTTTGTGCTTAACTTTTGGCAGTGAGTGTATTTAATAGTAAAATGTATATACAGTAAAACTTCTCTAACTCTCAAATGTCTGTAATGCTGAGAAAATGAAGCACTCAATAGCTCTCAATGGAATAGCATAGGGATTTAATGTCATCAAGTCAAATTTCCCTAATTCAAATTTTCTCTAAGTTGAAGGTTTCCATAGTTGCCCAACACTCAATTATGTTACTTTCAACTTCCCTGATTCAAATTTTAATATTTATTCTGTCCAAAGTGATCCTAATTATAGGCTTTCCATGAAATTTTCAGACAGTTGTATATACTGTCCAACACCCATTTCAGTCCAAAGCAAGAGGTCCTCTTGCTTTATCTCAACAAGGTGTACCTGCAAAACTTCAATTCCATTAGTTACACTGAAAAGCATTACACAGGCTGTTTTAAACAAAAACTATCAAAGATTTCTTTATAATATAATTCAAGAAAGGTAAAAATATGAATCTTCAGAATCGGCATTTTTCACTCTTGTTCTCTAACTTGAAGTTTTTTCTGCCCATTGGAGCTTTGAGTTAAAGAAGTTTTACTGTATTTTATGACACCATTTATTGTTACAGTTTAGATTTACATATTTTGGCATTTGAAAACATTGATGAATTTTGGCATCATCATTGTCTTTTCAATAAGATTGGTTTTGAATTTGAATATCTAATGAATTGATTTTTTATATAAAAATTCCTGATTGATATTACCAGATGACCAGAATCAAAGTCATGAATCCAGATTTGAATCATCTACACTCTCATTTTTAATAGTGTAACTCAATTTACTTCTGATTCAAATAATAAAAGAAATGTTTACTTTGCATTAAAATTAATTTTAAAACCATTCTGCCAACTGAAATTTTGCAAACTTGTTTAAATTATATTAATCAAATGAATAAAATTTAATTTAGTGGTAGGCATAGGTAATTTTTTCTCACATTCTCTTGATTATCATTTTTCACATATTGGTACAGTAAGACCCGCTTAATGTGGTGGGTGTATTCCTAGACGACAAAGTGCTAAACAAAACAGCATTAAACGAGATCATTTTAGCATAGTCATAGAGTAAATAGGGAAAGGGGAACACACAACCAAAAATAAACAAATTTTACTCTAATTTTAAGTTATTTTTATATTAATTTGCATAATAATATATGTTAAATAACACAAAATATGCACAGAGAAATGTAAAGTTCATTTTTTGTGACAAAGGTCCTGACTTTTTTGAAATTCTTGTTTTTTGTGATAAAGTCATGTAGTTTCATTTGTCACTTTTTCCTCTTAAGTAAATGTTGGTAGCAAGAAATCGCATCCAAAATGCCTTGTTTTGCTCGGAGTATTAAGTACTGGGCTTGGATGTCACGCCAACAGTTATCTCAATCAAAACTTCTTCCAAAACTTCAGACTATGAGGCGTTAAATATAATTAAAAATATTTTAATCTTGCGAGCGCTTTCGACATGCATATTTTGGAAGAAGTTTTGATTGCCTTGTTTTGCTTTTGCACTCCTTTCAAAATCTGGATCATTTGCTACAATTTGATCAACATTACCAAACTTTTACTAAGGAAGTGTGTAGAGAAATTTTTTGGGTTCTTCATTTTCAGAATCACTATTTTCCAGTTCTACATGAATTCCTTGTTCTGCCAGTTCTTGAAGGTCGTCATTGGTAAGGCTCTCACCAGAAACCTGCTGTAACTCCTCAATATCTGGCTCTTCTATATCTCCCAGTCCTGCTGTATCGATTAGGTTGACAATTTGGTCAACCTAACAATACAGTGATAGGCTCTTTTCATTGAGAATTCTTGAATAATTTCAGCCATAACTTTTTACACATCATCATTCATGCATTTATCAGTCAATTCTTGCCAAGCAAAGTTGATATTTTCTATGGCATCCCGTGATGTTATATTTTTTTCCAAAATTGCACGAAACAAACATAGATTTAAGAAAAGTACAGTACTGACGAATTGCCACCTTTTGCTGATTGGTTTGTGTTCGTAAATAATCGTATTATATACAAATCAATGAAATGCCACGATAATTTAAACTGGCGTAAATTTTGAGCTTTTTATTTTCTCTTCAGGCAGACCGTGTTATATCAAATCAGCATTAAGCGGGGTCTTACTGTATAGTGTTTGATATGTACAATTGATATCAAAATTTATTCTGGATACTTACATCTTTTATTTTAAGTTTGGCTAGAGTAAAAAGATACTTAGATCCAGATCTCAGGATCTTACAAGTTGAAAGTATATTCTATCTCAGAAATCTGCACAAATATATAAGAAATACAGTGGGTGATTGGTTAACGAACTTAATCCGTTCCAAGACCATGTTTGCTGTCCGAATTGTCTGTTGTCCGATTATTGATTTACCATATATTTTTGTGGGAATTTGATTAATTCATTCTGGACACCCCAAAAAATAAATAAATAATTTATATACTTTCTTACTATGTTTATTTACATGTAATAACAAACTAAAAGCAACCTCTTCATTTTTTCATGGATGGCACATCTTTCTTTCTCAGATGCAATTTTCATTACTCCTTTATTTGTTTGAGTCTTTTTGATTATATCTTTCTTAGCTAAGATTGTATCTACTGTAGACCTGTCGAAGTCATCTGCCTATAGTATCAGATATCTACTTTGGCTATTATCTCTTGCTTAGTTTCCATAGTGAACACAGTTCTTGACACTCCACTCGTTTTAGGCCCCATAATATTATCAGTTTTTTAAATAAAAAGTTCAAAACAGCACTTACAAAAATTCAGAAAACAGAAATTATCTAGTGCAAAACAAGAGTATACAACTGTGAAACTCTCATTCCATAAACCATAATACCATTAAAGANGGTTTGTGTTCGTAAATAATCGTATTATATACAAATCAATGAAATGCCACGATAATTTAAACTGGCGTAAATTTTGAGCTTTTTATTTTCTCTTCAGGCAGACCGTGTTATATCAAATCAGCATTAAGCGGGGTCTTACTGTATAGTGTTTGATATGTACAATTGATATCAAAATTTATTCTGGATACTTACATCTTTTATTTTAAGTTTGGCTAGAGTAAAAAGATACTTAGATCCAGATCTCAGGATCTTACAAGTTGAAAGTATATTCTATCTCAGAAATCTGCACAAATATATAAGAAATACAGTGGGTGATTGGTTAACGAACTTAATCCGTTCCAAGACCATGTTTGCTGTCCGAATTGTCTGTTGTCCGATTATTGATTTACCATATATTTTTGTGGGAATTTGATTAATTCATTCTGGACACCCCAAAAAATAAATAAATAATTTATATACTTTCTTACTATGTTTATTTACATGTAATAACAAACTAAAAGCAACCTCTTCATTT